GATTAATTAAAATAAAGTTTATATTTACCATTCACACTACTGAGCTCTCGCAATTCCATCGTACAGAGAGCACAGAATAACCCTTCTAACAAGCTGAAACATCTTGTAATAGACGATTCCCTTCCAATCTCAACAAACAACCAATATAACCAGATTATTTGTAGTCAACTCGGGCTTTGAAGTCGTTTGTGGAGTCTCAACGAAATTTGACCATGATTACTTGCGTTAGATATACTTCTATTTAATCCTGTTATTATCGCTCGTAATGATTCGTTTCAAAAATGGTTCGACATCGCTTCGTTTAGATAGGGTTTCAGTGATTCTAATTCGATCAATCAAATTCTTTTACGTTAATTCAAGTGATCTCCAAACATCCAGTGTTTAGAAACTACTCCTTTTAAGTGATTCCAGACTGTCATTTGAACACTTTTTATATCATCTAATACATGAATATTGAACTTTCGCCTAAACTGTATTTACAGCAAAGCAAAAAAACTGTAACTTAACAGAACTAAATTCTATTAGCCATGACTACGGCTATTCGCTAGATTTGAGATTGTTTGCTAAAAAAAATAATTTATATTTGTTTTAATAATGATTGTAAAATTTGTTGTAAATACTAGATTTTTCCCATAATACTAAGGCTTAGTAAACTTAAGATAAAAAAAACATTCATAAAAAATTTAGTAATATATGTAATAATATTTATGACATTATCATTATATATGCAATATATATAACTAAGTGTATATTAATTTATATTAACAATTAAATTAAAAGAATAAACGTTAGCAAAACGAAATAATTGCAAGACAAGTAGAATTGTATAAACAAAAGTTAAATTTAAAAAACAGTATAAAAATAAATTTATTATTTTTAAGTGTTTTTCTAGTTAAAAAGTTATTAAGTTGCTTACAAAATAATCCGTTCCCGCTAAATAGTTATTAAGTTATTAAGCAAATAATTGCAACAAAATAACAGCCTTATCATTTGTTATTATTAATGTTAAATAAACTAAGCCAAACTAATATAAATTTTAATAAATTTTAGTTATTTTTTTTTATGCAATTATAAAAAAACAACAAAAACTGAATGAATTTATTTATCTTATTATTCAACTTTTATTAAATAAATGTTAAAAAAGTACTAGTGAATATGAAAATCATTGAAAACAATGAAGCGAGAATAAAACTTTATCTTCAAGCCAAAAAGTTTTGAAATTAAATTCAATATTAAAAAAATTGAACGGTATAGGTAAGTCCTTTCAGTGTTTCAGTGTCTAACTTCAGTGAAGCACAAATAGACAGAAATTGAAACAGGGACTTAAGACTCTTTTCCATTCTTTATCTTTTAAATTGAATATAATCAAAATTAAGACTACTGGTTTACAGAATAACTCGTATTTATACAATATGCATTTATACTCCTTAGATTATATCTTTATGTATGCTAATTAACAGCCCATTGTACCTTAGTAAACTGTTATTTTGAGCGCGAATCTTAAATCTTCTGAGTACATACGACATGACAATTATAAAAGAGCTGACTGCTTTGCTAACCTAAGAACAAGCAGGCAAATGATTTGATCACTGTTCAAATAAGAAAAAACTCTGGGTGTAGACAGACATTATTAATTAGTATTAATTAATTGAATGATCAAGTAAGCTTTGAAAGAAAATTCATGCAATCAACTTATGCGTAAGATCCAATATTATCAAAAAACTGTCTGGCTCGAGAATTGTTATTTACTCTGAAAGCCAGGTGTTATGAGCTCTTACAGTTACTCGTCAGTAAGGGGAGTCCAGTAAAGGGAGTTGTTTCATATTCAATTTCTGTCACCAGAACAAATTAAGAGCTCTTCTCTAGATTTATTTTTGGACTTTGTTCACAAAGCTTTAAAGAGTTTTGCGTAATCAATGGTAAATTTGGTACAATAGGACTCTTCTGGCCGTAGTACCGGCTGCTAGGAGATTTCTCGATACTTTAATAGTTGTCGTTGTAAATCAATCTCATAATTGTTAGACAATTTAAATTAAACAAGGCGAAAAAAGGGGAAATAAATGTTTATCATAATTTTAATTTAATCAAAATAAAAAACTTTCAAATTTTCTCAGAATTTAAAAAAAAAATTAAGTTTTGTTTTTTCACTATTCCATTGTGCTTTTGCAATAACAAACATTTTTTAACTGTCCAAATTGTTTTATCAAATAAGCGTCAAAAATAAAATCAAAATAGTCCACAATAACTTTTTTTCACGTCAACTCACATTTATCAATTACCAAAAAATTTGATGTCATTTGAAGCCTGGCGTTTATTTATATTTCAACAGAAACTAAGTTGAGGCATTAATTTTGATAAGAATTTTATGTTCCTTTTATTTCTTCAAGTTATCAAGATAGATTTTATTGCCGATGATTAGAAGAGAATTCGTCATTTAAAATAATTTTGGTCTGAACACGACAAGAAATCCCCGTTTATTGTAGATTTAGTCAGTTTTGATTAAGATAAGTACACATTCACAAACAAACAAACAAACAAGCGAGAATGTTTGATTGTTTCAATGAAGTCACCTAGGCTTACTCTTAGCGAATTTTTATCGACGCGAGTATCGAATTGACAAAAATAAGTTGTACGCTCTTCTAGATAATAAGACGGCCTTATCGGTCGCATTAAATGCTTTCTTATTGATTTTGTTTTTGTTGTTTATCATTTTGATTAGTAATATTTCTAATCAAAATTTGGTTGATTAATTGAATTCCTAACAGCTTAGAGTGAAATCAATTTTGCACTCTACATTATTGTGATACGTTGTTTAAGAATTATAGAATTATATATATTAATATTATGCCAAGCATTAATTAATATTATTCCAAAATATTATCCAATATTACAGCCTAGAGCTCCAATCACAATGCACTCACACATGTTAGAAGACGTTTATAGATAATTTCAGTTATTTAAAAGATCCAGGTTATTGTTCAATATCACAAGCCGGGGTGCTAAGTATAGCACTAAAATAAAATGGTTTCTGTAAGAAAAAAATCTGCATTTTTCAGCAATTCTTTTTCCTCTTTCTTAAGAGAAAGAATATTTAGCATTTAAATATGGACAATTGTCACCTGGAATGGTTTTATATCAACCTGTAAACCTAATGTTACATCGATATATATAAAATTTTATCATCAACTTTGAATATAAATCATAGCATTTAAATATTAGTGAAGCTAAGAGAGGACTATATTTAGAGAAATATATTTACCGCCGTTGGCATAAAATAGTCGTGATAATATGATCCTCCCTAGTGTACGAATTTATGGTATTGCAGAATACCATGTCTGCAGTATATATTCGTTGCTGCATATTATGTTGAATCACGATTTACTGAATAAAGAAAGCCATATACACCGTATCGATTCAACGATTTCTTAGCAACCTCTCTATGATATTATATTCTTATAATCTTATATTATCAAGCACAATATTTTTAATGTGTTCCACTATTTCATTCTTGGTAGACATTGTACAACTTCTTAACGCAAAGAGGAAGACATTAAAGAAGATATCTTCAATGTCTTCCCAAACTTCTTAAAAACGTTTTAACCATTCATAAATTTGTGACTATGATATAGTAAAATCTCCAAATATTTTTTATTGTCTTGTAAACTTTACGATATTAATTTCATTTTTGTTTAAAAGTTCACATTAAGTCTATATATATCTGATATTTTATTGCAGAAGAAATCTTCTACTTTGAGATTGTACTAACTGAACTAATTGTTAACACATATATTACTCGCAATGCAACCAATACATAAAAAAAGAACTACTTAATAAGCAGACTACAGCACACGAAGCTCAATATATATAATATATTTTATTTTTTGTAGATTTAAATCGCACCACTCATACGATACAATAGCTATTTTGAAGTGGGTATCAGTATTGAGAGTGAAGAAGATATTTTTATTATCTTTTAAAGATGCAGGTGTGGTCATCACGATAACAATAACGTAATATATAAAGAATATTTGGTCTACTCTAACAAATGAAAAAAATTTATTTATATTGATTTTGTATTTAATTTAGTTTGAAATTCTTCATGTTACATATGGATTAAACAGAGTGATGTTTAAGAGAGTGAAGTTTTTGCGGAATCAATAATCACCCAATGAGCACTACAATTTCAACCTTAAATATATTTTTCTCTTTGTTAATCTTACAATATAATATATCTTCATAAAGTTCAGATAAATTGTTTCGTCACATCACTGTCAATATGTATTCCATATGAAAGTATACATTATTCTGAGATATCAGTAGATATCAATAAAAAAATTTGAGTTACACGCGTGCACCTCATGGAAACACCACTAACACGTTTCGTTGATAACCGTGACTATAATTCCATTTTCATAGTTAGAACTAAAAATTTTGGCTTTTAGCTGATAAGGGGTTTCTCTATTCGTTTTATTTATATTAAATCTATAAAGACATTCAATGAAAAAATGTACAAAGGCAGTTCCTATTACCATTTGGCAATAACACGATCCACTCGTGCTGGATGGAGTAGGCTACTGGATATATTCAACGGCTATTTACTTCCCTAATGACCAACTAATTGAAAATTAGTAATAAGAATTATTATTAATTTATTCATTTAATTGAAAAGACGTTATCATAAAAAATTAATTATTATAACAATTTTCTTTTAATAAACTTATAAAATACACTAATGTAATGTCAGGGGCAGATCAACTTCAAGTCCCTAAAAAAGTAATAACAATTAATCCATTTATTTATTTACATATTTCATTTTAAATACCATAAAAATAGAATACAAAACAGTGATTGCTCATGGCATTTTCTATTGGTAAATCTGTTGCAAAACGTATAACACTCTAGATTAATTTATAAAACTTTAGATATTTTATCAGAGTAGCAAGATTACCTTGTAATTATTAGCTGTTTTATATGATTTGACTAAAAAAATTTTAATTACGCTTAAACTACTGAATTGGACAACAAAATTTTACAAATCGAGACTATTTCTACAATCAACCCAGATTTACCAATGGAAATCGCCTTTATAAACTGTTATAACTGTTATAAACTTTAATACAACTGTTATAAAACAGATTATATCTTGCGTTTTTTAGCATTTCCTCTCCTCTATTGCAATAAATATAGTCCTTACTTATATTAAAACTTCAGTCATTGACTTCTGTACATTAGTTTAAGCTGAATTTTCCTTTACCAAAATCAATATAACAGATACTCTTTATATCAGCAAATAATTTACCATTTCACAATTGAACGACTTTACTTCTGAACAGTTTCTTGGAAAACTGTCACTTTTTCTTCATAAATTTGATCAAAAGTAGTATCATTATTAATTTTTATTTAATTTATATTTTTCAATAACCACTCCGATAATACAACTCTCAAGTGGTGGCCATAAATTATGCGTGATATGCTATCACAAGCCATTGAATAATGTGAAATACCACATTTCAGTACGATTTCCAAACAAATGAAATCCTTAGTTGCCAAAAATAGTGTGTATTTCACCAAAGCTGATAAACTATCAATTTCGTTTGTTGTTTTTTCGTAACTGATATCGAACACAATTGACAACAAATATCAGGGAATTAAATCATATTAACATAGTCAGTGTTATTAAAAATATTGAAATTGTATAAATTGCCATAGATTGCCAATATCTTACATAGTTTAAAACAGCTCTTGTCAAGGTGAAGTCAGCTATTCTAACTGCTATTCTCAGCTGTAATTTTCTTGTGTCGTACTAAACTTTTTTAAAAGAAATCAAAATGCAATTAGTTGGACGTGTATTCATTTTGGCCGTTTGTGTACTAAGTGTAAGTTAAGAAACTTGAACAATATATATACTATATATATAGTTCATATACGTAAACTATAGCTTAACGCGAAAAAATAATAAACTTTAGCATAACACTGAAGAAAAGGATAATAATTTTACTACTTGCCAACTGCTTAATAATGTTTTACTAATTAAAATATTAAAATATTAACTTATCCTTACTATATCTTAAACTATATTTTATTTGTTGTAACAAAAATAATTAATTAATAAAATATATTACAGGCTTTCGCAGTACCAAAAATTACAGCTCACTTTGAGAGCGATGTTGCAGCTGCTGATGGCATTTATCAAATGATTTTGGCTCAAGTTCGTTCTGCTAGTATGATAGATACTCGGGCCATGACCATTCCAGAAGCTGTCTGTGCTGACCAATACAACAACAAAACACAATCAATTAATAACGTATTGACAAATCAAACGAATGCCTGCTTCGAAAATGCAAATAAGACAACGAATGGCAATGCTTTGAGTGCCAATGATACTGCCAACATCATACGTGCCAATCTAAGAGCTGTCCAGAACCAATTGGCCAATTGCAGTGCCATTGAAAATATTACCGAATTCAACAATTGCACAACTGCTACTGTAAGTCAAATATATTATTATAGTCAATTTTTTTCTCTTAGTTAAATTTATTTTTTAAAACTTAATTTTAATAAATATTTATTTTATTTTTTTAGTTTGACAATAATTTACTACAGTTAAACGCTGCCAACTCACAAGCTTATCTCTTGGATGCACAAATTTCAGTTAACGGATCGCAAGTGGATATCATTCGCAACGGATGTATCAATGCTGCCATCGGTGGTGCAAAAACCAATTTGACAACCGCCGCAAATGACTATAACAAGTGCCTCTATATGGCAAAGAACCAGCGTGATGCTCCTTCGAATTTATTGCTAAATTAAAATATTTTTGAATAACCATTCAAAGTATTTCAAATGCAAAACAGTATTGTGTAAATATTCTCATTAAGTTATGTACATTTTTTTTATTCTGCCAAGAAAAGATAATAAATGCTTTTGACTAATAAAATCGAAAAATAGTATTTTCAGTATTTTTCAGTATTAATAGGAATACAAAAACAAATTCTTCATTACATATTTGCATAGCAGAATCACCAAAATTATTTTTCTATTAATAATACTACTTTTCAAAGGATGTCTTAAACTTCATAGAATAAAGGAACAGTGCATTCTATAACAAAATTATAGACCATAAACCAAAACTAGTTAGGATGAGCACCGAATAACAAATATACAAGGCAACTTGACTAACTGCATTCAACTCAATAAATGTCAACTCTTTTTACCGTGCTGAATACACGTTGTCCCAAAATCTCCAGGTTGCCCCCGGTATAGTTACCGACCACCACTGAATGAATTTAAATTATACGAAAAATTTTTTTAAGAAAACTATTCTTTATAAGACAAGCGAAAAACATTTAATTATAGTTGATTACTTTTTCATTTTATAAAGATTATCTATATATGGTAGATAATAACAACCAAAAACATAGAAATATGTTTTTGATAATAACCAACATAAACATTAGTGTTAATACTCGCTTTTAACATTGATGTAAGTAACAGACTGTTGATTATGTTAAATTCAAAAACATAGAAATTTCTATGTTTTTGATTAAATTAATGTTCACATTGCCATATAAATCTCACTCAATGTCATAATATAGATAGCGAGATCGTTTTAATATTTTTTAACATTTTTTATATACAATACTTGAGTTATTGACTTTTTCCATATATAATTGAAATATTGAAGAACTAATTAATTCAACTTATATGTCTTCAAAAAAAATTAGTTTTTTTAAAAACACACAAAAAGATAGTCTACATTTCATACAAGTCATTGATAAGTGATAAACAAAGATAATTGTTATTCAGTTGGAGTTGGAGCAAATTGTAGTTTAGTAACTCAAGAATAATTACTTCGTTATTTTTTCACTAAACAACATTTGAAAGATAAAAAACATTGAAAGCAAAAAGAATCTTAAAAAAATGCTGATTAAAAATTTTGTGGTTAGATTATTGCTCTAATAAAAACATTGACTCAAAGTAGCTATTAAAATTACTGACTAATTAAATGTATACTACTAAGCACAAAGTATAAAGTTATTTTAGCGCCGTAATAAAAACATTTATTACCATTCACAATATGATATACATGGAAACTAATAATGAATAGTCATTAATAGGATTTTATACAAAAATTCAATAAAAAGCTAATGAACAAAGCTACAGGTGGTATTTTTGAACAGTATTGATTTGCCATCTAAATCAAATAAACAGATTTAATATAATAACTATTATTATTGTTAGAGGATGCGGCAGTGCGACCATCGGGTCCATTATGCCCCCTTCTGGGCTTAGAGTCGGTCTTTAATAATAACATAATAACTAACTTCTTACTGCTTAAAGATTTTAAGCGTGCTATTGATAATACCCATTGCTCATCGACAACGTCATATTTAAATCGATGTTGTACTTAGAAACAATGTTTTTCGTCAAAAAGTTTTTTTAATGGTAGAAACCGTATGCGAAAAGTCTGAGTTCGCAATACGTTTTAAACATAGCACTATTGAACCAGGGACGTTCATGAAACTTATATCCCATCATCACTCCTCGCCACATACACATAGGAATACATATAGGAAACAGTGACAAGCATTTGAAATCCTTACTATACTGAATTAATTAAATAGTGAATGACACCCACTGACGGAGCCAGAATGAAACTTTTACGTCTATCTGAAAATACTAAAGCAGTCAGTCTATGAATGACACTTTAATAATGACCCTCTACATTAAAGCTGCTAATAACTAAAAAATTTTTGTTAGGATTATTGAGAAGCACTGATATCTTGTTAGAGTGATAACAATATACGGAAGAAATTTTACAGCTATCAGGCAACATTACTTACTTACTTCTTTACCTACTTATGCTTTATACGTTACTTTGTTATACTTTACTTACTTATTTGAATATAAGAACTCGTTATCTTTCGGTTTGACTCTCAAAGCGTCTCTACGATTTTTTCGCTTCCTCCATTCTTATATATGGACGTGATATTTTAACTTATTCACTGCACCAGAGACACTTCATCCACTTCTTATTCTTCCATTAATTAGCGTTTCAAACACTTTTGTTTTAGAGCACGTTGGTACATCCTCACGACATTAATGAACCAGCAAATCAACGGAATTCGTGTCCTTCCATCATGTTAATATCGTGTTATATATAATACAACTTGTAATTCATTTATATATCATAACCGATGTCATCCTGTATAGAACACAAATCAATCTTGTGGAGAAATTTTCTCATGAACATCACCTGTGACAGTTAATCATTCTGCTACACTGTCCCAGCTTCTGTGTCATACAGAAGCACAGGTGCGATGAGTGAACTGAACAACTTTCCAATTGCTGTACCTCCATTTCCTACTGAGCCCATAATAGAAACCATTCGCAATAGTAATTTCTCGATCTCCAGCATGACAACATTACTGTTACTTACACCGCCAGTGCCAAGATATTGATAGTTTTGAAAGTACAATCTTCAGCAATCAGCTCAAATTCCGAACAACTTAAATTTCTGTTAATAGTCGACATATACTTCGTGTTGCTCTAATTTACTGCTATGTCCGTCTGTGCATATTTCTTTCTAAACAATGACAGAGACAACATTAGCATCACACTTGTCAATCTTAAGCAAAGCGATGGAAATATAAACACCTTTTCTAGCACTAAGGAGATCACATAGTAAAGGATCGCCTATCTGAGACCTAACAGGTATGCTTGAAATGGCTATAGTTATTTGTCAATGGCATTCTGCTAGCTTTCTAAATATGTGCCTCAGTTACTATAAATGATTCCATTTTTATCGTACAAAAACTGACTATACAACGAATGGATTAGTTATTTTGAAAATATTATTTTTTACTCTACTGAAGAATGCAAAAGGACATTCAAAAATAGAGAATATCATGAATTTATGATTAAAACACTATGTATGCATTTTAGATATCAAAAAAAAAATTGTATATTTCATTTTGGTGAATACTTTATTCGCTATTCAAAAAGTATTCATAAAATTTAGTGGAATGAGTCAAATGACTTCAATTAAATGGTTTCAACGAATTTATTACTTGTTCTTAAAATCACATTAAGTTATTTCATATTCACTTTCCTATTATTTCCTGCAGAATTGCTAAGTAAGAATGCATCTAATAATTAGCAAAACTCTAATAAGCGTAAGGTCACACTTAAGTTAAGTAGTCCTTAAGTGTTCGATATTTACCAATAAAGTAAAATTTAATATTTATTTGACTGTCTCTTGGCAAATCGACACTTTTAAAACTTTCTTTATAAATTCAAAAAATGTAACCTTATAGAAGTATTGTATTAATTTTACAAAACAATAAATAATAAAAAATTATTTTAAAAAAAAAACAATGAGCTTTATTACGGACTACGAGGTCTTAGCAGAACTTAACAGAAATAATTTTAAAATCAAAGAAAGCAACTGCTTTTATATACCGGAGCTTAGGTTATCATTGAACGCGTGCGAATCATGTGGGAAAACCTAACTATTTTAACACTTACCGTTTAACTTTGTATCTGCTGATTATTATTATCATCATAAAATTCAAGTTTCCTTATCAAACGATCTTAATCAATTAATTGCTTAGTAACTGAAGTGGCACAATCAGTGAACTCATAATCTCAAAACATTGTGGGTCATTATTTATTAAGTTGGAAACAAATGTCAAGATATAAAGCGGATACGTACGAGAATGCAGTAAACAAAATATCCGGCCAGGAAGTAAGAGATAAAAATTTGTCAAAAAGCCGGTAAACTTGTGATAGTAAAATGTTGATAAGATTTTAAAATTTAAATAAAGAACATAAATCAGACATACATAAACAAATAACGTCCGTTCATACAATGAGACTTATAAAACGAATTAGAGATATTTGATATATGTGCTCCATTTTATTTGATTGCAGTCTAAACGGAAGTTGATAATTAATAGCTATAATTATTTCCATTTTTTGCAGGTATGACGCCAATAGAAATAATTTTAAATAATTATTTAAATGCACATATACACATATATGTATATATTTGTGTATATATGTAATTTTATGTATTTTATGCATTTTATGCATCCACGCTGTCTGTCTGTTTTCTTCACGATTTACTTGAACTCTATAGCCAAGCCAAATTCTCTCTACTAACACCTTAAAGATATCGAAGTGATTGGCTTCAATGCTCTTACTAAAGGGTCTTACAGAACCCGTCAGGATGAGGACATGAAGCGCACAATTAAACATTTAATGTGCCACTGTTTAGCTCTTTTCAGATAAAGACTTAAGCCCTTTGGAAACTTTCACTTTAAAGAGTTTATAAATAAAAATATGTACAAAAACAAAATAAACAGTTCATTTATTTAAATTTCCATTCGATGACATAAATAATAAAAAGTATATAGACTATCAAATAAAGAAAACTATTTAGCCAAATTTGAAGTTCATCTAAAAATATTGTATTAAAAACAAATAGATATATCTAGTTTGAAATGGGCGAAATATTTTAGGATTATTTGATGGTTAGCATTTAAAACCATGTTTTTTTTTACTCCTCCTAAACTATCAATAATAATGAATTAAAGTTACTGAAGAAGTCAAGTTACTGCAAGACCGAGCAGCTAGTTTGTTCTAACAATAATGGCAGGATCTGTCTTCAATTAAGCATATAAACGGCTGTAAGCAGGATATCTGATATAGTATCATTACTCGCGTAGTGTCATCATTGCAGATGATAATTTTAGTGGCATACTCTTTAACTGTTTGGCTTTGATCAAGGTAAAATTGTATACTAAGAGCTTTTACCACCTGTCTAATATCATAAATCCTGAAAAGAAGACATCTCAGTTTCAAACCTGGGTACTCACTGCTACAGCTCAGATTGGTTAAATGCAAATGAAAGAAAATAGAAAGCACATTTCATACTAAATGCACATATACAATATTTTTCATTATGCCATATTCTATGTGAATGTATAGATTGTTTCGTTTGGCGATTCTAGAACGCATGACATATAATATATTTATATATTAGTAGATAGGAATTATAGTTCATTACCCTAAATTTTTTATTTGTTGCCTAACTACTGTGTTGATTAATTGGTTCAAACGAGACTCTCTATATAGATGACTATATAGTTGACTCTCTATATGTATATAGTTGACTAATGAATCTTGGTAAACTGTCCTTATTTCCGTAAATATTAAATGTAACTAAACCTTTTTCCAGCAATCAAAGCTTATTTAAATCCGATAGTAGATTTTTAAATATTAATTCATAGTCTTTACTACAGTAAACATGCCATACGTACTTAAAGGTGAAAATAATTTTTACATACGATCACAATAATTCTTAAATAAATATTAATGTAATATTATAAAAATAATATATATCTTAAAGAAATAATTATACCATCTATTTAGTCCAATTATTTTTCAACTAAATCGTAATTGGAATGAAATGGAACCCTAAGGGCACATAGCGTCTATGTTTGCTTAATTTAAATACTTTCACGCTATTTTAACAAAAATGTTATCTTTCGTCTTGTCAATATCTGAAATGCTGATAATACTAATTTGTCATGTTGTCTGACTATGAGTCAACAACTTAAAGCACTTTTTCGCAGACAGTTTGCTTTTTAATTAATTATAACATAATTATATGAGTTAATACAAATATATATATAAACGTATATATGTATACGTCTATATATGTAAATAAATGAATATAGCAATGCAAAATATTGTAAATAAAATAGTTTAAAATTTAGACAAATTATTTCCGTTACAGCTTAAAAAGTTATTTAAGACGCTGATATTTTTGATATAATCAATTCAGCCCATATATCCCTTGATGCCTTAATATGTTCTTACCGAAGTATTCAAAGCATTTGAATTTTTATTTTATAAGATTAAATCTCATTTTTAAAATGTGAATAATACAAAATATTCCATTGCGTCCGATTTATGATAGATCGATAAACATCTGTAGGTCAAACGTATGAGTAAATCATTCAAGTGGCCAAGAGCTCTTTCACGATCACTTAAAGAGCGGAAGTATTTAACTGATACGAAAGTTCCCAAGTGTAGTAGCCACACACAGACCAAATGGAAGCGAACGAAGTGAAAAAAGAAATTTCGTGTGTGAAAACTTATCAATTGCCGGGCTCAACTGTTATCTAGGTACAATGAGGTGGGATTTTGATAATTAAAGGTAACTCAAACATATTAATTAGATAAAAATAAAAGTTTTGTTTTGAATTTAAATTTAATATAAAAACCACGCAAATTTCTGAATTCATAAACGATACGACAAACAGCCATGAAGGTTGTCTTGAGAGTACTCGCAGTGTGCGCACTGCTTTTAAACGCAAATGTAAGTTGCCTTAATCGCTTGTGTTAAATGTAAATAAAATATAAAATCAAATATATCATAGGTGACATCATATGTCATAAATGCACAGTCATCTGAAGAAACTGATAATAATGTAGACAACTCAATTCAATTACTCTACGATGCCATCTTCGATAGTTCCAAATTGAGTGAAAGTATCTACAATGAGAATTATCCAGCAGACTCGTTTTCACTACCTTGTTGGAATGCCTATGCTAAAAAAAATGTTAATATTCTTTCTGACAGTGGTGACAAAATCCGTCAATGTGCTAGTGTAAATGACTGGGAATTGGAAGAATACTTCACTGCTCACAGTGCCCAACATTTTAACAAAAAGTTTACACACAAAATGAAACATTGTTCAACAAAGAGTGGCTTTAAAAAGACGAATTGTTTCGCTGATATTGTAAGTAATACACTATTTCTAATTCCTGGTTATTTTAAGTTAAACTAATACTCTCCTTTATTTTACACAGATATTGGAAAGTATGCAAAAGATCGTTACGTCTGATGCAACTAATTACTGGAAGAGCAAACGATGCGTTCGTAACGAGATTAGTAACATTGTAGATGCGATGAGTATTGCTACTGATAAATTCACTGCATGTTTATCTTCAAATTCTACCACAAACTCCACGAATCCGTGGGAGCCATCTCCACCATGGAATAACTCTACAAACTCCAATTCTTCTAATCCATGGCAACCACTTCCACCATGGGACAATTCAACTAACTCTAACTCCTCAAATCCTTGGGAACCATCTCCACCCTGGAACAATTCAACAAATAACAACTCTTCAAATCCTTGGCAACCACTTCCACCATGGGATAATTCAACAAATTCAAATTCTTCAAATCCTTGGCAACCATCTCCTCCATGGAACAATTCAACAAATAACAATTCTTCAAATCCTTGGGATCCATCTCCACCATGGAATAACTCTACAAACTCCAATTCTTCTAATCCATGGCAACCACTGCCACCATGGGACAATTCAACTAATTCTAACTCCTCAAATCCTTGGGAACCATCTCCACCATGGAACAATTCAACAAATAATAATTCTTCAAATCCTTGGGATCCATCTCCACCATGGAATAACTCTACAAACTCCAACTCTTCTAATCCATGGCAACCACTTCCACCATGGGATAATTCAACTAACTCTAACTCCTCAAATCCTTGGGATCCATCTCCACCATGGAACAATTCAACAAATAACAACTCTTCAAATCCTTGGCAACCACTTCCACCATGGGATAATTCAACTAACTCTAACTCCTCAAATCCTTGGGAACCATCTCCACCATGGAACAATTCAACAAATAACAATTCTTCAAATCCTTGGGACCCATCTCCACCATGGAATAACTCTACAAACTCCAACTCTTCTAATCCATGGCAACCACTTCCACCATGGGACAATTCAACTAACTCTAACTCCTCAAATCCTTGGGAACCATCTCCACCATGGAACAATTCAACAAATAACAATTCTTCAAATCCTTGGGATCCATCTTCACCATGGAATAACTCTACAAACTCCAACTCGTCTAATCCATGGCAACCACTTCCACCATGGGGTAATTCTACAAACAATTCTTCCAACTCCAACCATCATCATCATGGGCATCATCATCCGACTCACGCTACGAGACCTCCATGGAATAATTCTACAAACTCCAACTCTTCAACACCTTGGGTAACTTTACCACCATGGAATAATTCTACTGGCTCGAACTCTTCTACATTACCACCATGGAACAATACTACTAATTCGAACTCTTCGACTCCTTGGGTAACTTTACCACCATGGAACAATTCAACTGGCTCGAACTCATCCACTTTACCACCATGGAATAATACTACCAATTCCAATTCTTCGACACCTTGGGTAACTTTACCACCATGGAACAATTCAACTGGATCGAACTCATCCACTTTACCACCATGGAATAATACTACCAATTCCAATTCTTCCACACCTTGGGTAACTTTACCACCATGGAACAATTCAACTGGCTCGAACTCATCCACTTTACCACCATGGAATAATACTACCAATTCCAATTCTTCGACACCTTGGGTAACTTTACCACCATGGAACAATTCAACTGGCTCGAACTCATCCACTTTACCACCATGGAATAATACTACCAACTCCAATTCTTCGACACCTTGGGTAACTTTACCACCATGGAACAATTCAACTGGCTCGAACTCATCCACATTACCACCATGGAATAATACTACCAATTCTAACTCTTCGACTCCTTGGGTAACTTTACCACCATGGAACAATTCAACTGGCTCGAACTCATCCACTTTACCACCATGGAATAATACTACCAATTCCAATTCTTCGACTCCTTGGGTAACTTTACCACCATGGAACAATTCAACTGGCTCGAACTCATCCACATTACCACCATGGAATAATACTACCAATTCCAATTCTTCGACTCCTTGGGTAACTTTACCACCATGGAATAATACAACCAGTTCCAATTCATCCAGCCCTTTGACAACGCTACCACCAGTTAATAATACAACAAATACAACCACGGTTAGACCCCGGCCTACGAGAACTTCTCGTCGAACCCGTCAACCTCTAAGTACTACTACATTAGCCAATGATATTGACGACACAGAATCAAATTCTTGGCTTGACAATACTTGGCAGAAATTTAAACACTTATTCAACTAAATTACACAATGGTAGTAAAACGTTTGTAGAGGATATTAACTAAAATTATTAAAATTATATAATCTTTAATTCAAAACATTTAATAAATATAATAAATTGGCATATAAATAAATAGTGGTGTTATATTTTTCAATGGTAACATGGAATACTTAACATAGAATACTTAACATGGAGTACCTTACATGGTAACATGGAGTACATTTTTTTTTTCAAATCAATCACGCAAAAATATCAATGATTTTATTTGTCGATCCCGATTTTTTGATGTCGTTAATAAATTTGATTGCGGAGGTGTTTAAACATATCTATTAGTCTAAATATCCAATAATCCAACTAAAATTTAATCCGTTTGTAAAATTTTTATTGTATTCAAAATCAATAGAGACTATTTTTAAATAGAGATTATATAGTTGTCGGCTATATTGTAATATACATTAGTCATTCAAAACTTTGTCAATCGTTTTGTTCATTCACAAATAATTTACTACAGAGAATATTGCAGATAAAAATCAAATCAATCCATAGTACGTCGTTTCAAATAAATAATAAATATTTTTCATAAACTCTTACATTTTACATTTAGAATAGTTCCAAGAAGTTCATCCAAATAACTATTATTCAGAAAGACACCTTTACAATTAAGGCTAACTTCTTATTAATTAGCCACGGATAAAAGTAAAATTATTATATTCTTGGTAAATACAAACAATATTCTGTTCATGATGCACCAGTACATCCACTAAAATCTTTTTAATCCACAATTTAATATAGTTTATGGTCTGGAAGTGTTATTATTGGTTTGAAGTAAACACCAAAGGAAAGTTTTTAGTGACATCAATAAAGAGATTTTGACTTCGGCAATATGTGGTTTCAGTAAGTTTTCATAATAAAGCACACATCTGGCAACATAACCCATTTGTTGAAAGGTCACGACCAGATTAAATTTGACCGTTTGAATTTGCATTTCACGAAATCTTGTGGTGACGATGTCCATCAAATTTTCATATATGACTGACAACAGGATTATGTACAATTAAACACCCAGCGATTTGTCTGAGTTTAAATCTGTTTATATTCAGATACCTGTTATGTTTGTTATTGATTAAAACGCACTATTTTGCCTTAGGTCATGTCCTTTTTGTTATTGATTTCAATAAGACATTATGATTTCTAAATGGTGATGCAGTCTCACATATTGATATTCCGTAAAAATGTTTCGATACATTAAAAGGAACTAGTATTCCCGCCTTCATAAGCTTATCAACAGCTTCGCTACCATCAAACCCCGTAGGTATTCACGTGATACCTCTTATGGCTAGTACAACTGACAGACAATAACCAACAGAAATCATTCATTACGATAATAGATGTAGCAGTTAAATTGATATGGTCAAGAATTTCATAGAATTTGAAGGTCAGTAAAGATCGATTAATTAAGAAATATTTTATAAAATATAAATTCTCAGAATTTGTATATCGTAAAATAATTGAAAAAATTTGTATTCTAAACAGTTAAAGAGCTATCAATAATTTATGACATTGTGCACATAATAGTTGTTAATAATTTAACAATTTTTCAAATAAATTATTTTTAGGAATTTCCCCACTAAACAATAATAAGTAAAATAAATTATAAATAGGTGCACATATTCAATATCAGATACTAAAGATAAATATTTAATAAATATAAAATTAATTTTTTCTAAAAAATATTCTCCATCAGCCTCTAAAAATAACAGGGAATCACTACCGCATTGGATTGGTTTCCAACTACTGCAGACACTCAAACTTTCTACTTTCAATGTCACGACTGAGGAAACTCAATTGCATAAAATGCTCATCAATTACGCAGCTCTCCATTAATCTATAAAACAAACATGGATTTAGATAAAAAATTAATTTCAAATTAACCGATAATTTCTTTATCATGACGTTAGGCAAATTTTTATTTTATATAAAATTGCGACGAAATTTCAAAATTTCATTTCATTGCAGACCTCATTCACCACAATGAAGGTGATTTGGTTAATTTTCGCAGTGAGCGCAGCACTACTTTCTAATGTAAGTAAATTATCAGCTCCTATTGAAAAGAAATGAAATTAATTCGATTATTAAACAGGTTTCAGGATACGTCATCAGAAAACATAGCACCCAGAGAAGTGTGGAAAATACTCCACTTTCCGTACCAACTCTATACAATGCCATATTCAACTTAACTCAGCTAAATGTTGAGGATATCGACAGTTCCTCCGAGGAGATAGATAAGATCGAGTGTTGGACTAATTTCACCCAAGAAAACATTAATGTAATGACAGCCAGTGGAACGCAAATAATAGATTGTGTGAAATTTAATGCCTCAGAACTTGAGTTATATTTTAGCAGGAATAATGCTGATGAGTTTAATAAACAATTCATACAAACAATGGAAGATTGTATTGGAATGGAAGAAGCGGATAAATCAAATTGCTTTGCCAATAATGTAAGTACTTGTATAACGATTAAAAAATATACACTGGAGACATTTTTTTCATATATAAATTTAATAGGTTTTGAAAAATTTCCAATCAATCGCCTCCAGCAATTTGCTTAATTTCACTCAAAGTCAAAAATGTGTTTTAAATGTGATTAACAATGCTGTCAACGAGATAAATGTTGCATCCGATGTACTCGCTAAATGCATGTTTGGAGACTATTTTACTAGATTCCCATGGTTTACAAGAACAACCACGACAATTACACCTAACACAACGAGTTCAAACTATACAAACCCTGCGACTACAATGACACCACCAACTAATACAACGAGTGTTAATACTACTATTGCGATAACTACTTCTTCACCGTGGGCTAATACAACAAGTGCTAATACTACAATTGCGGTAACTACTTCTTCACCGTGGACAAATACAACAAGCTCTGACACAACTATTGGAGTAACTACTTCTTCACCGTGGACTAATACAACAAGCTCTAACACAACTATTGGAGTAAGTACTTCTTCACCGTGGACTAATACAACAAGTGCTAATACCACTGCTGCGGTAACTACTTCTTCACCGTGGACAAATACAACAAGCTCTAACACAACTATTGGAGTAACTACTTCTTCACCGTGGACTAATACAACAAGCTCTAACACAACTATTGGAGTAACTACTTCTTCACCGTGGACTAATACAACAAGTGCTAATACCACTGCTGCGGTAACTACTTCTTCACCGTGGACAAATACAACAAGCTCTAACACAACTATTGGAGTAACTACTTCTTCACCGTGGACTAATACAACAAGCTCTAACACAACTATTGGAGTAACTACTTCTTCACCGTGGACTAATACAACAAGTGCCAATACTACCATTGCTGTATCAACTTCTTCACCATGGACCAATACCACAAGTGCCAATACTACTATTGCGGTAACTACTTCTTCACCGTGGACCAATACAACAAGCTCTAACACAACTATTGGAGTAACTACTTCTTCACCTTGGACAAATACAACAAGTGCCAATACTACCATTGCTGTATCAACTTCTTCACCATGGACCAATACCACAAGTGCCAATACTACTATTGCGGTAACTACTTCTTCACCGTGGACCAATACAACAAGCTCTAACACAACTATTGGAGTAACTACTTCTTCACCGTGGAGTAATACAACAAGTGCTAATACTACTATTGAAGTAACTACTTCTTCACCCTGGACCAATACAACAAGTTCTAACACAACTATTGGAATTACTACTTCTTCACCGTGGACAAATACAACAAGTGCCAATACCACTGCTGCGGTAACTACTTCTTCACCATGGACTAATACAACAATTGCCAATACTACCATTGGTGTATCAACTTCTTCACCATGGACCAATACCACAAGTGCCAATACTACTATTGCGGTAAATACTTCTTCACCGTGGACCAATACAACAAGCTCTAATACAACTATTGGAGTAACTACTTCTTCACCGTGGACAAATACAACGAGTGCCAATACTACAGTGGCAGTAACTACTTCATCACCGTGGACTAATACAACGATTACTAATACTACTCTTGTAGTAACTTCTTCTTCACCATGGATAAATACAACGATCGCCAATGTTACTACTTCACCATGGACAAATACAACTAATTCAAATTCATCGTCATTACTTACAACTGTTCAACCTTCTCTTAACACAACTGCTAACAGTACTACTCTTATTCTAACCACACCTATTTCTACAGAAAACACAACGACCTCTCACGATTCTAATTTAAATTGGTTGGAAACTACTTGGAATAAAATAAAAAATATTTTTTAAACGAATATATTTAACTGAGACATAGAATTATTGTACCTTAACAATTTAAATAAAATTTAATTATGTATAGCATAAATGAACATGCACTTTTATATAATGTAATTCGATACTCATATATAATTTTTAAATTAAATTTTTAAATTTAACATATTTCAATAGTCCACAAAAACCTATTTGGATGTTCTTGTAAACTGTTTTTTAGGGGAGTAGAAAGTAGAAAGTATGTCACTCAGAAGACGATAAAACTTGGGTCCAACAAATGAATGCTTTTAAGAAAATTTTCTTTAACGTAAGCTATTTAATAAAAATAATAAAAATATTTTCTACGTTTGTAATTCGCAACTGAAATATAAAGAAACTACCAAACATATGGGCCTTAACTCAATATCTAACCTCAGTTCTGTTCACAACCCAATGCAGAATAGTTAGTGCATTTTAGAGAAGAACAATAAATAGGGAATGGACAAATCTTTTTTCAATTTCACTAAAACTACATCTATTATACCGAATTACGATATTGGATATATTGTCTCATCAACTGGCTTGATGCAGGAAGGCAAACATTCCTTACCCTAGACACTTCAGTCAATAAAGTCAAGTTCTTGCGATTTGGAATTTTAAGTAATTTTAAGTACTAAATTGATGCACTGAAGGTGGAAAAATTTTATTCGAAATTATTTCAATAGTATAAAGTTCAATAGTATTAATCAATCATGGAGGGATAAAAGATTTAGATAAATAAATTATGATTACAAAATAATGCGACAAACTTTTGTACATGTTTTGAAAACAATTTCAATCGAATATAAATACAGCAAAAATTGTTTATTTCCACAGAAATAAAATTACTAACCACAATGAAGGTTCTTTTAAAAATACTTGCCATCTGCGCACTGGTGTATAGCGTAAGTAGATTGTTTTTCTAGTATGTATAAACATATAGACTATTTGGATTCTTCTGTAGACCACAGGTTTTGCGTTGAATATACAATTATCCGGAGGTGCTTACCAAACAGTTGCAGAATCCATAAAAATTATTTCCCACATTGTCTTTGGTACGTCTCTGAGTGCAAATCCTCTAGACCTAAACGCATCAGAAGACAATACAAAATTGAACTGTTGGAAGAACTACACTGAAAATAATATCAAAGCATTATCCAGCAGTGGTTCGGCTATCAAGAATTGTGTCGGTGTCAGCAGCGAAGATATCGATGCATACTTTAGTGTAAACAATTCTGATGATTTTGAAGGTGAATTCACTGTCAAAATGATCAGTTGCTTGCCAAATATTGAACAAATAAACTGCTTCACAAAAACTGTGAGTATTGCCAACAAAAAAAATAATTTATTTATTTATTAATATTCTTATATCGTTTATTTTTTAGATTGTTAATGATTTGCAAGAGATGGGTTCCACAACTACGAATGATTCTGCAAGTACCGAGTCCTGCGTTCAGAATCAACTCAACAATGTTGTGGCACAAATGAATTCAGCCTCCGATAAATTAACTTTTTGTCTAACTCTTGCTGATCTTTAAGAAAAAGTGGAACTAATATATCAAAGCGATTTCTGGTTTTAAATGGTGTTAAAGAAAACCATTAACTCAATTATGGTTAGATAAAAAATAGTGAATACACAATATATATAAACTATATAAAAAGTATTATTTAAAAAGACCCAATAAATAAAATAAAATTTACGAACATTTAAAAACATATTGTTTGTAGTTAAAACAGTCTAGAGCTGTCCCGCAGCTAGAAATTTTCTTTAAAAAAACGCTTCAATATTATAAACCAAAACATTTTTGCAGTTACATCATGATTTATTTCTCGTTAAAAAGTCAATCACTTTCTTTAGATCTGAGTATCCCACCTATTCACCCGCCTTTATTTCATTGGAGATCATTGGAGATTCGTATACATAAACAGCTGTCAGACAGCTGTCAGACTTCTTACAAAGTACTTTTCTAAAAATCTGATTCTTCTCTTAGCAAAACCTTGACATTTACAGAAAAAATGTGAGAAAGTCTTGTCTTCGTTCTGATTTCCGTTATTCTTATAATAAGTTTTCTACTTGGGTCTCTACAAAGCAATAAACTGAAATTACTGAAAATGTTCTAGCAGTGTGGATTCGATCCCTGTTATTATGTTTTCGGAAACATAGTCTAATTGTATAATATTGTTAATTACGACATCAACCGGGGTTATAGATGAATTCGATCTACAATCGTTACACTTTACGAAATGAAGCACAACTCATTTATTAGTGGAATTTTAATATGGTCATAAGTTAATTTAACGGTCATAGAGTCAAACAAATAGGTTAGTATCGAACTGCTTTTATATAATCTCAATTAAAATTCTTTTCTATGAATTCTGTCACACTTAGTGTAGTTATAATAATTTTAATACCAAAAAAAATTCAAGATCTTATTTAAAGCATAAAAAAAATGTAAGGCATAAAAAAATCGTACATGCAACTTAGAAAGCTGTTACAATATTGCTTTCAATTATTCATTCTATCTCTACGATGGGATGTTTGATTATAACAACGAAATCGGCGAGTTTAAACCACTGCACAAATACTTTTTTCTAATTTACCATAATGTCATCAATAACGTCATCGATAATATCATCGATAAGGTCGTCGATAAGGTCAACGATAATGTCATCGATAATGTCATTGATAAGGTCATCGATAGTTTACACTTCAGTTATAGTTGCAGTCAAATATTCTTTTTTTCTAAGCATGTTTGGCCAAATCATCACACCATTTCATAAGCAATACCAAACAGAATATTTATCAAGATACATCAGTAGATGATGGGTCACCTTTGAATCAAGTTTACTCCACACATGATCATTTTCTCTTACCCGGACTGAAATCTTTGCCAAATACTAGTTAATAAAATATAGTTTTATTCAACAGATTTTTTATTAGTTGTTTGAGTCCATTATTTGTCCATAATAATTGCTAATTAAGAGAAGACACTGTATAAAAGAGTACGTAAGACCCTGTATAAAAGAGTACGTATGTAAATATACACAGTATAATAAACAACAACATCAAAATGAAAGTCCGAAAGCTTTTATATGAAGTAAATCCTTTATGAACTTAAAATCTCATTTCACAAACCAAATTTAAATTATTCATTAATTGATGTTCGCACTCTACATTTGCAACAAATTGTATCTAAAAATATTCCTGATAGTCAATTTTATATGTTTACATATAAACGTAATATAATAGATTTCTTACTAATTAAATATAAACATACTTATACTTAAAATGATTAGCAAAATTAAATTATCCTCAAATTAAATGAAAGATAAGTTGGTTTTCGAACTGTAAACTTTGAGGTCCTGAATATGGAGCTCAGGTGCAAGGATCAAAGTATGAGAAATATTTGCATAATGAAATAATTTAAGCGAATTATTGAAATAAACATTTTACATACCGCAAAATTAATTGATTCGATTTGTTTAACTACTTTCAATAATGCTTTTCTAAGCTCCTTCGTTGGGGATTAATGGGACCAGGTGTGGTAATGTTTGAGATACAAAAACTGTTGCGCTTGCAATTTTTGTCACTTGCGTTAATGAATTTTGTGGTTCAGGACATGTGATGTTATTTTAAGTGATGGCTTTTCAATTAAGTTCTTGGAAATGGTAAATTATAAATTGTTGAGCAGCCAAAATAGTTTCTCGAAAATATTTACATGTTTATGCGCAAATAAAAAATTTAATATATTGAACATAAATAATTTGTGACTAACTTCAACTTAAACTTATTTTTTAAATTTTTATATTAATTTTATTATTAAAATTTTGTTTTTTATTTACAAAATATAAAATCTTATAACTAAGATACGAAAAACTAGCGCTAGCTGCTAGGACTTTCGGCTCAATTATTATAATTAATAAAAAAAAACTTTCCACAGACATTCGAAAAGCTGTCGTAACTTAATAACTGCTCTGTCCGCTATTGCAATCATGCTGTTATTGATATAATATAGACCATCAAAAAATAATATTATTATAATATATAAATTCGTTTTGTTTTTTGAATAAACTTGGGTGTATAAATTAAAAAAATTGTTCTCTAGCACATCTAAAATGGATCATTTCAAAGTCTTACAAGAACTAATTTAATAATTTCTTTGTGAGATGTTTAATACTAATTATTGTGAGATATTTTTGTTGACATATAATTATAATTCTCAAGAAGTATAATTACTTCTTAACGTAAAGCACACATATACAAGTGATTATGAGTACAATTTTAATTTAGAATATTACTAGTAATTATATTTGGAAGTTCTTTTATATTTTTGAGATTCATATTTATGTGTTTATGATTTTGTTAACTTATCAATGCATTCAATATTATGTCGTAGAAATGTATTTTTTGAATTAACTTTCATTTTTAAATTAAGAAACCTAAAATAATGAGTTACTTACGGATTTCCATTCTACAAATATTGCATAAGAAGATTCACAACAGTTAAAGTATAAAGTCGTACTAAAATAATTTTTGAGAATAATTATTATAGCATTTTAAATTCTTTAGATTATTTGATTATTAAAGGGATATAAGTACCGTTAGCATGTTTTATTGTTGATTTAGATTGGATTTGTCAAGAATTGTTCAAGTTATTATGACCAAGTCGTTCAATTGTACTCCTAGCTTAATATTATCTAATATAGCGTTGAAACCTGTGGCAACTTTATGCTCAACATAACATATACGGAAGCGAAACCTGAGTAAAGTGTAAATATAATCAAACAATGTATACCAGATATAAAAACTTGGATATAATTCAAATATGAGTATTAGTGTAGCTCTTCTGATAACATAAATATGTACCCCTTTTTTTACAAAGACATGCCATATAGCATATGGTATGGTTGTGGTTAGTATATTATTTCATCCTATTGAGTTAGATAAAGTTAGTAAAGTAAGTCTTTAGTTAATAAGAGATGATATAGTCATTTAATAC